AAACTCTGATGGAAATCCGATTCTAATGAAAATACCGGATTGCAGTTTTTTTATAATGAACGTCGAGTCATCTGGATGGAGACGCTACGAAATCATTTGTGCGCTTCGTATTACAATTTCTGCGACTTGAAAAATGATTTGAATTTTTTTAGACCACTCTTCGATCACCATCAGACCGTATTCCGCATCAAACTGAATACTTTTCACGAATTTTTATATCACATAACAATTTTTTACAGCACAATACGTGTAATCGAGATAATCGAATAAATACGCGGAACCGAGTCCGCGCGCTTACACTTGATTCTGATAAATGGGATAAAATCGCGAGAATCCAATACGTGCATCGACATGCTTTTATTCACGAAGCGTTCACAATTTGCGAATTTAATCACCATTTTTCTCTTTCACAGCTCAGAATACGAGTTTAACACTTGTAAAATAAAGGGAAAAAAATTATATGAGTTTTGGCGCTTGGTATTTGTGAAAAATTCATTATCGCAGCGGACGATAATCGACCGGTGAATGTTCGTATATGAAAGTTCGCTGATCAATGAGAATCGATAATTACCTACCAAAGTAATTAACAGCGATCGTGCATTCCCGATAACCAGCCGCGTTTGTGCCGCGTGAGAACCATAAATTCCCTGAAATAGACGCCTCCGCAGCATCGGAATATGGTCCGATGATAATGCCGACGAGCGAAATAAAGTCGAATTAGAAAAATAGTACAATGGACCGAAATTATCGTTTATCGTGTGTTATAGCACAATAGAGCTACCACTGTTGTTAAACGCATCCACGAAATTGTATATGCACAGCATAATTCGAATGTATAGCGTCTGCATAAATTATTCTTAAAACTTTACTCCGCGACTTCGTTAAGAAAAAAGATGGAAACTTTGAATAATTCCGAAAATATGGGCAAAGTATTTATGGCGTACCTCGAGAAAAGCGTACTTTCCTTACGAAAAAAATATTAAAGTTTTTTTAAATTTTCAATTAAAAAGTTTTAAAATGTTTAAAATGCCATGCTGATGTTCAAAGAGAAAAATATTCCCAAATCATGAATTACATTAATGAATTTAGTTCGTTATCTTTGTAAACAGAATAAATAATCAATTGTGATGTAATTTATTTAGCAAACTGTGCTGAGAGAGTGTTGATTGAACTTGTATTCACTCATCAAGCTTTATCTACACAATCATAAACGATAAGAATGATACTGTTCAATTGAAGCCGCATGAATGTATTAGTTGTTGTGTAAAAAAAAATCTGGTTTATGGGGTGTACATGCGCAATGCAATATTTGTAAAATAATTAGCGAGAGTAAGAGAAGGGAAAGGCGGAGATATAGAGAAAATAGAAACAGAATGTGACGAAAAGGCGAGATGTTTTCCAGCGTGACTTTTGCGTACCAAAAGAAATATTTTCTATTGCGTCGTCTTTACTATTCGTTATTATTAAGATCATTAATTGTACGGTGTAACGATACCAAATTAATTAAGACCGGCGTACGATAAACGGGATACGACGTTGCCTGCATCGCAGCGCGTTTATCTGCACTCACTCATAGGATACTCATAGGATCTACTGACATTAAGGATAAGACGATAATGTACGGTACATTACGGTGGATTTCGAATTAATTCTTAAAGAATTAAACGATAAACTTGCAACTTAATGAATTTCTCAGTATATGTCTGCAATCATGTATTATAGAAAAGAAAATTCGATTCAATAAAAACTTACGAAAATAATCACGTGCATATTATTCACCTCCGACGAGCAAGCAATTTCTGTTGCGATTCGGTTATTACGGATGAAGCATGCTCCTTTTGCAATTTGCGAAAGGCGGATGGTCGAACCATTTGATGTGGTTTACGCAACGAACGAAAAATGGCGATGAAGTGCATACAAAAAAACACGTGTTGCTTGATAACGCTGCAATGAAAAGTATAATTGCACTTTATTATAAATCGTTTCAAGGTCCCTTTAATCATTGCTGCATTATTTTACTTCGTAATCTTAAAGCGCAAACGCGATTATGATTAATTATTTGTCAGAATAATATACCATAAAAACCTGGAAAGTTTATATATGAAAATCTAATTGTTTGTATTAACTTTAATCATCCTGAGCTTTTATACTAGCAATCCTTCCTTCACAAAATTGCCCTAAACTTAAGTAGTACTAATAACATACTCATATGGATATATTCTTATTTATACATATATGTATATGTATATACATATATATATTTGTTTATATAATATAAAGAACCTTATTTTGTAAGTATAACAGGCTCTTAATTCCAAGCTGCAAAGGGACTCGATAACATCTAATTCTGTTTTTATTTTTATAATATAAATGTATTTCCTAACACATGTATTATTCAGCTCTTATAAAATTGCAATTGTACTTAATCTAATGTCTATTAAGCAAAACCGATAGTGGTCCTTTACAGCTACATAGCTTTTTACAGCTCAAAGGTAGTAAATATCTTTTCAGAGTCACTTTGCAGCTATTAGTACAATACTTTATTTCCAAAGCATGATAGATCTATGATAAATTTATGATCTATTTATGATCTATTTATGATCTAAATTTAGTTAACAAAAAATATATAGTATTTTACAGTACCATATTATTATAATCTTAAATAAACTATTATCTGCATACAGAATGTATGCGTATAGGTTTGTTCATGGCAACATTAAAACTAGATCACTCTTCTCGAAGTACCGATAAACATTTCTTGAGCAATTCCGCATGCGACTGTGAACACAAAGTAAATATGTAATTTAACGTTTTGCACATAGCTTACGAAATAAGCGGAATTGCCATTCACCTTAGCATGTTTTATTTCCAACTCTGTTAATTCGATGAGATTCTTCTTAAACGCAGCAACTCGTCTAGTTTTAAAATCCAAAAGTTCTGAAAGATAATCAAAAGTATTAATAAAATAATATCTAAAACAGTCTACATAATCAATATTATTCTGCAGATTAGATGGAAACTATGTATTTATAAGACGAAAAATAATGTATGTTATTTTCTTTCGCAGATGATATTGATTGTACTGTTTCCAAACAAATAAATACATGTTTATTTACCTTCTCTTCCTTTCTTAGACATTTGTTCATACTTCTCACATGCCTCAGTTTGCGCTTGTTCCGCCTTGATTAATACAGATATAATATTTAAACTATCAAAATGTCACATATTTTGTCTAAATTTTTAAATTCTATAATATAACTTAATATTTAGCATATTCATCAGCAAGACTTATACTGGCACCATGAAATATTATAATTATATTATAAATTATAATAAATTATCATAATATTGAAATCCATGCAACTGTCATTCATGCATAATACTTAACAATAAATTCTGTGCTGCAATAATTAATTTGTGTCAATTTCTCTGCTTAAAATGGAATATCTCATGTACATATTATATTCATTCATAATTCATACATGTGAAAAAAATATATTTCTTGTAGAAATATATTCTTTATAAAGGTATTGTAAAATTAATTTTTTTTTCTATCATTAGGAAAAAACTTATGCCATGATATCATAGATTTCTTAATCAAATTTTTAACAAACTATTTCTTTTGACTTGCCTAATATCGATTAAAGCTCGATTTTAATATGAATCAATTTCGACATTTCATCCAGTTAAAAAAAAAGATGACAAAAAACTGACAATAAGTATTTTAAGCACTACAACCAAAAATATATAGATGACAAACAACATGACACACCTCAGCAACCTCCAGTGCCTTGAAAAGCAAGAAAAATTAAAGTTCTGATTAGATACTACTCGATCATTATAATATCAATAATTGCAGTTTCAGTTAACCAGCTTTTTACGCGATATGTTAATATATTAATCTTGAAACAGAACAAATGTTATATTTATTCATTTTCCCTCGCTCAATTCCCTTGATAATGTTAATGTTTAATTAGCTAATGATATAAATTCGCAATTATAGAAAAATTATGTATGGACTTACAGCGTGGACATCCTTATTTTTGGCACGAGCTTTTTCAAGAGTGCGATTCGCAGTTTCATATTCATGCAAAGCTTTCAATCTTCTAAAAAGAAGTCTTTTAGCCGCAGCTGTGTCCCTCATGTAATAACGAAGAGTATCTGATAATTTTAAATCTTCATCTGATGCCACTCGTCCTTCAACTTTCTGCAAAAAAAATATTTTTCGAAACTTAAACAATAGAAATTTAATGAGCAAAAATTTTGAAGAGCATTTTATAAAATGTTCGTACTCGTAATTTCTCGAAGGTCTCGGCAATTTTAGTTAAGAACCTCTCGAGTTTTCCACTATCTGTTGTAGCTAATTGTAGAAGATTGGTGGAAATCTTTATATACGAATCCGCTACATCTTTATGTTTAGATGTTTGGCGATCAGCCAGTCTTGTTGCTTCTTTCAAATTATGATGGTAAGTTTGAAGGAATGTCATTTCTTGATCAAAGAAATCATTTACATCTTTTACTGTAGCTGATAAATAATATTCATCAGTAGTTTTGGAAAACGACTTCACCAGACCACCAAACATTTCCATTCTATTCTTTCCTATAATAAAAAAAACCATATATATTCTGTATTTATATTAATTTTTATATATTGCAATATTTTCTGCATAGAAGACAAAAGTATTACCTCTCACACAAAGATCTTGATCATATTCTAAGAATACCCTCAAATTATGATCATTCCGAAAGACTGGATGATGTGCCAACCTAGTCAAGAACATCTCGTGCATAGCGACAGTTTTTTTAAAAGTAGCTAAATATTCTCTGCAAAGTAATACACACATTACAATTAAATTCCATTCCAAAATCAACAAAAATGTAAATAATAATTGTAAGAAAGATAAATTTACATATACAAAAGAACTCACGCTTCTAATTCTTGTTTCATCTTATTAAATTCTTCGCGTGTCATATTTCCTTCACCCTCACCGAGTTTTTGTAACTTCTCGCGTGACGCATCAAAATCTGGTCTTGGTGGACATGGTGGAATCTATTGTAATAAATATCAATAAGTTCACAATGTCAAAGTACAAAGTTTAAGTACACGCTAAAGCAATGTTATCAAAATATTGTGAAATTTCTACATACAATGTAACCAGCATACTCTTCATTTTCCTCAAATCGATCATGAAGCCACACAAATTCCTCATGTTGCCTTACAACTAGATTGTCTGGTTTTTGAAATTCAGGTAGAGTAGTTTTCGTATGTACAGTAAATTTTACTTTATCCTTCTCGCTGAGAGCGTCCGAAATATCAACTTGCAAGGACTTATCCGAGAGGTCTATGGTATCAGCATGGATTGTCTGAAAGAATAATTTGTTAATAGCTATGATAGTGCATGGTACGGAACTGTCACGAACGCGGAACAAAGAAGCGAGAGGGGACGCACACAGGCAATTACGGCTATATGTATTACCAATAGAAAGATAAAACTCTTACAAGAAATAGCGATAAAGAGGCAGAAAGAGGAAAGTATTATAGATACCTTCTTGGGGGGTGTGCTGTTTAAAATGTCGGCAGTGTCACATATACCGTCCTGCAACATTTTTTTGCGTGTTAATAAATGTAAGGCGCGTCTGACGCGGCGAAGGGGGAGCGGGTTTTGCGGATGATTTACGCCGTCAAGCGAACGGATCGCCGGCCACCGATTGATAACAGGTTCCACCTACCATCATGGCGTCCACTGGCGTCGTCTTCTTGACACACCGTGTTTGACAGCAGCCCGATTAGCAGAACCGTCACGTTGAATAACGTATCTGTTACCTCGTCGTGCAGCGGGAACAAACTGATGTATTGTACACGTTGCGCGCGAGCCCGTTGCCGGGGCCGACTGATAGCACTTCCGCTGGTAAAACAGCCGAGATGGAGTCACGACATATCTCCGGGAAGCAGCGCGACAATCGACTCTACCGGACTTGAGCGCGACGAGTCACGCGTCGACAAATCAGCTGGAGAAGTATGCCGCGTCACGTATCGTACGCATCACTGCGGAGCGCATTCCAGTGGATTCGTCGTGCTGCGCGCGCGACACAGAGACACGTCACGTTTCCAGACCCGTCCAGAAAATAAACTCAACTGATATTTTACGATACCTAAATTCATTTATCTTATTGAAAGCGTAGCAAATGTACATTAAACGTTTATTAAACATATATTAAACGTTTATTGGCAATACTTTCCACATGGTTTTTTTTTAATTTTTAAAACTGCAAAAATATGCTATAAATATATTTAATGTAAACTATGAGATTTATTATTTTTTATCTCAATTTTAAAATTTTTATTCTGGATTTTTTAGGTCAATCATGCTGGTTGAGATATTTTTATCTGTCATATATTCCTGAAAAATTCAAAGCTTGGATTATGTTACATGATGTATTTTAGAATCAAGGACAATAAGTGTAATGTGCACATATATATATTTTCCAATTAAAAAGATATGCTCAATGCATACATATAAAATACATCATAAGCTGTAGATTAGCTTTGATTGTATAGAATAATCGCTAGATTACATTAAATCAAATATATTGGATATAACATCCTGAAATCAATGCACATTGTTTGATCGTTACAGTATAAGCGCAAAAAAGGTACACAATGCTGATGTAATCTTTGGTATAACAATTAGGTATAAGCTCGTAATTTGAGATATTACAAATAACATTTGATTACAATAATGCTCAAGAAGCCAATTTGTACTAAATAGATATAGGATACTCATGCTTATAGATTTCTTAATTTCATTGAGTAACATTAATATTAATGCATAATTTTCTTGCCAGCTGATAAATTCATCAATAAATATAATAACGTGCACTACTAGAGCTTATTCTTTATTCATTATGTATTTAATTATCTTTCGTGTCTCATGTCTTTGCAAAGTAGTGAAATATCTGTAATTATTCTTAAAATAAAAGCAGGAACGCGCGCGCGTTTATTAAAATGGAATCATATTTGGAGCTTAATATAATACAGATAAAATTATCACTGCCATATTTATATCGGTATCTTTATCTATGGTCTGAAACTCTAAAAACTTCAGTCGTTACAATATAAATTGTAAAAATGTATTTTTGATTCATTTATAGCACTAATGATGCCTTTATTTTTAAAAAGATGCCATAGTAAATGCCATAAATAATGATACCAATTGTCAATACGTGCAATAAAATTTCTTATAATCATTAAATTGGAATATAAATCTGATTAAATGTAGGCCTCCTGATGGCATTGATTAATACATGTTTTATATAATTATCATCTTATACAGCAATACATACATATATATAATATCGATTTAATATTAGATTGAAAATGATGTCAAATCAATTAAATACATCAACGTCCATGAGCCACTACATATAGAATGGAATTTTGATTACTAGTGCACATTACGTTACAGTACATAATATGTATTAAACGAATATAAAATAGAAAGTGCCTGTCCTCTCCCGCTTTATCACTCCCGATAATTGATATTATCTAATACAATAATTTCATATGATGCTTCATAAAGTGGGAGACAAGCCAGCTAAAAATTTTACAATTAAAATTAAATTATACTAAGCATGTTTAAATAAAATATTTTGAATCAAAATTAGGGAACCTCAATCTTTTGTAATAATATCCCATTAGGAGATAAAACGATTATACAATGTGCAAGAACGAAAAATTATATAGAGATATATAACTTGGAAAAAGCATCTGTTTTTTTTTCAGAATTAAATTCATTAAAAACACATTGAAAAATAATATAACTTCATTCATACCTTTGCGAGAATTTGTAAGTAAAGACTTTATTAATGCTTCATGATTTTAGTGATTTGTATAACATTTTCGCCTTACAATAATCCTATTTATTACGCGTGTATAAGATTATTTCAACTATAAATACACCAATTGTCACTTGTTACCTTATGACGCGGCATGCGCAAAATTAAAATGTACAAAGTAAGTGAGTTCACAGTAAAATGAAGAGCAGGAGCAGGGTCAATTCAGATCGGAGAAGGATGAAGCGGTGGACAGATAAGCCCCAGCCCCTAGCAGCACCCACCACCCTGAGCACTACCTTGTCCACCAGTGCCTGATAAACCTCCAGGACTTGTGGGTGAATGCTGTGGTCCAATCTTAATACCGTTTGCCTGTTAATTCAATTGTCATATTAGAAATATTACAAAGCTCTTTTCTTATGTGTGTCAAAAAAACATCTCCAAAAAATAATATAAATGCATAATGTAAAAAAAAATAATAAAAAAGATTGTTACTTATCTTTTTTATACCGATACGAGTGCAAATCACCTTTTGTGATTTTATTTAAATATAAAAATGTATTATTTAACATTATTATATATAATATTAAGTTAAGATGTCAGCAAAAATAATGATATGATTAGAACACAAAATTAAAAATGTAAAAAATTTGTTTTTCTGATTTATATGAGTGCAAAATATACATGCAAAAGTAATGGAGAACATTATTGTCGTACCTCATTATTAATGTCAAAGACTCCCTCTTGTATTTTTTCGTATATTTCTTTTGCAGTATTAATGAATGCCTCTTCTACATTTGCTGCAGTCTTAGCGCTAGTCTCCATAAAGACAAGACCATGCTCTCGTGCGAAAGCTTCACCTTCCTCTCTCTTTACTTCTCTTCGATTATCCAGATCACTTTTATTTCCGATTAACATGATAACCATATTAGAATTTCGAATGTTGCCTTGCATCTTCCAGCCATGTTGTAAGATGGTTAAAAGTTTCCCTACGTGTAATGTCATATACCAATAGAGCTCCAGCTGCTCCACGATAATATGACCTTGTTATAGAACGGAATGCCTCTTGACCCGCCTATAAAATGTGAATTATGAAAGAAATTAACAGTTGACATTTATTAGCTAAATAGCAACATGCAGATCTTGCTAAATTTCAATCTTGATAATATTAAAATTTAAAGAAATGTACAAAGAACTTCTATCAAAAACAATTAAAAATATTTTTCTAGATAAGCAATTAAATTTAATATAAGTTTCTTTACATGAACAACATATATTAATTTAAACATTAATTATCAGATCATATTTCTAATTGAGGACCATGTGTAACTTCTGAGAAATAAATATGCAAAATATGATGGAATAAGCTGGAATAAGTAAATAATTACAGTATCCCAGATCTGCAGTTTAATTTGCTTGCAGTCAATGGTAATCATACGAGCACCAAACTCGACTCCTATTGTCAAGTCATGGACTGGCTGAAATCTCTTATCCGTAAATTGAAGAAGGAGACAGGACTTTCCAACTCCTATATAAAAATAATATCACATTATTTAGATTACAATTTTTTTCTAAATTCTAATAAATCCTAATTTCATTATGTATTGTATCAAACATTATTCAAAATTTCTCATTTAATATCTAGAAGTTGCCATATAGTGTGATTACAGTATTGTATTTACTTAATTCAATTTTATATCAATTGTATAATATAATAATCTCTCAACTTGCAATAATTTATCAATATTATTAGATAGAAATAAAATTAAAGCTATATTTTTCTGCATAATAAAAAATACAGTGTATAGAATCCATTTAGTCACAGCATAAATAATTCCATTAAAAAAAAAACACAATGTGTGACGTGCTATTTATAACTGTTACTGCTGAAATCAACAAGACGATTGGAAGATTCACCAAATATTATAGAAGTCAATCGCCGTGCAATAGCAGGAAATCAAATAACAATACAATACAGAGAAGAAACATAAAATCTATGAATCAAGTGCTGACACACGACATACATATTTAAAGGAAATAAATGTAGCGTTAAGGTAAAATTTTTTTGGTTGATTATCGCTATCCATAAATAGATTTACGCGTTTGCAAATCAGCGATATGATTACACATTACAGAAACGAAAACAATGGGTCCTGTCACAGACGACGTAGAAAGCACGGTACGAAGGTCCGATTCCGCAGAGGTGTCCCTACGTAATGTCACGTATTTACCTGTGTCTCCGATAATGATATACTTGAACAGGTACGCGTACGACATCGCGAAATACACAAAGCTGATGAGACGCGTGAACGATTTTAGCGTGAACGATACACCAGGAAACAGAACTCTTCTTTTGACTGTCTTATCTCTTCTGCTCCTGCATGACGTCACGGAGGCGCTTCGGGAGGGCTCGGTGTGGCTCGGAGTATCTCGCGGTCTCTTCGACTTTTCGATATCCGTCGCTGTCAGTTGCGTCGCTCGTGCGCATCAAAGATAATTGAAAGCGTGTCTTAAATTTTATGTTAGATTCACACGGTGTCTGATTGCAATATATAACATATTGGAATGTTTTTTATAACAGATCATAGATGTTTTACGCCTACAATTAAAAAAAAATTTTTAACAATCAGAAACGTCTATCTTTCTTTTATATTTTACTTTTTTTTATATTTTACTTTCTTTTACAAAAATAAACATACCCGTTCTATATTGCTGTTACTTTTATACGATTGGCCACAATTGGTCGTTCCTATTCTATTGAAGCTCTTTTCAGTATATATGATATATATATCGTTTAATGCGTTCATCATTCAATATACAATATTAAATGGAATCGAATGAAAATATGCATGAAAATATAAAAACGAAAAACGTAAAATAGTAAAAAAAGTATTCAACTGTTGAACTTTTTACGTGGACATAAGCTCATAAAAACCAGACTTAAATGAAATTGAGGTTAAGCGTCTCTAGATTTAAAACTGCCGTACTCTATTAACCTATTAACTGATAATGTGAATAGTTCGATTATAACTACATAACAATACTGCATAAAAATTATAGCCGTACTTTGCACATTGTTTTTGTCAGTCAGACAAGTCGCAATCGTCGCGAATTTTCATCTTGTCTATTGGCGGCAGTGTTCACCGCTGCTTGGCGCTCGCACGTTGTATCGGTCGCGCAATTCGGAATTGTTGCAACAAGTACAGTGAATAGTAACGGACATTTTTCACGGATCACTTTAGAAAGGTTGGTGGAATTCTCGTAAAGAATCGCGCGCGCATCATACGACGCGCGTATGTTCGCAAGTGCATGCCAACCGTGCTGATTCTGCCGCTTCGCGAAAAATCGACGACGCTGAAATATCGGTGAAGTGTTTGTTTCCGACGTAAAAGCGCGCAAATCCGAGCAAGGGAGGTCTCGATAAATCCAGGTAATGTAAAATATAAATATCTTTTCAGAATGAGAAAGAAATTCGGTCGATCGAGAGCAATAATCGGCAGCGTTGAGCGTTAACCTATCTAGTGGAGCGTTGGTTTATCTAACACACATTGTCGTGCTGTGTTGAATTTAGTTGAAATGTCATGCTCTTGTACCCAAGGGCAATTTTTTTCTTTAGTCAAAGCTATTTGTCAACATCGGCAGTCGTTGATATTATTCTGTAAGATTTACGCTACTTCCAAACTAATCTTTCTTCAAGATAAATCTTCGATATCTCTCAAAATAACCTCAAAATAATCTGATTTCCTTCTTTGAGTATGTACGAAAAGCGAATAAATCAAAATAACAGTGAAACATTTAGGTTATAATGAAGTGAAATAGTTTATTTCTAATTATTGAAATAATATGAGCAATATAATCAGAAATTTATTTAATTTAATATTAATATTTTACTTAGAATACGTCTTTGCAGTTCTTACATGTTGTTTTTTTTAAGTTTCTTATAAGAAAACGATACTGTAATGTTTTCTTTGATGACTAACTTGTGACTAACGTGGTGTATTTGTGCAATGATATCTTGTAAGTGCAGTATCTCCGATATCTTTGATAAAAAGAGTATTGTCCTAGAAATCACCTGTTATATTATATTTAACTTTAGAGTGGAGTATATTCAAAAACAAGTAGTTTACATATTAAAATATAGTGATTTATGTTAGGATTCAGATTGGTTTTAATTGTTAAGAAAGCATCTGTGAAATAATTACTTTGCATTTTTTTAGGATAAAGCAATGCATCGAAGAAGGTAACAAATCTGGAAAACAGGATCATGGCGAATAGAAGGGAAAAACCTACTGGCTTTGTGAGTAGAATCATTACATCTCAATGCATGCTATCTAACAAAAATCAATTTCTTTTTTAATAAAGAAATATTATAAAGGAAATATAATGTTATAAGACTATAAGTATAGTGTGGAAAATATCAAACTGTGTGATGTAATGTTACAAACAGCTTTGTTTGATATATAAAATTACTCAAAGAAGGGTATTATGACAATTATTAGGTGTTAAGATAATTGAAATAAATAATATAATAGCCGGAAAAGTGATGTATCACTTAAGACTTCGTGCAAGACGTTCAATTTTCAAGAAGTTTACAAAACGTTTATTAGATATCCAAATTAAAAATAAATTCTATGATCTAGTTGCACAACACTCTACAAATAATGCAGTAATTAAATTATTTTAGCATTGCATTTGGTAAAAAGTATAATATCGGAATAATTCTACTAGAATAATGTTATTTTTAATTTGTATTTTACCTATTTGTATAATTTATCAATTCTAACATCTTTACCGATAAGTATGTTTCAAGTATGCATACCTTTTTGCACTTCTTATCTCGCAGAGTTTCGTAATGATAGCTAAACGCTTTACCGTTTGTCTACGTGCGACAGTCGCATTGTCAGCAACGCCGTAGTACGATCGAACGCTACTGATTTCCCATATTCTTCACGTTTGCGTGTATCGCGTTTATGTGCTCTGTCGATTAATAAATATTATTTCTGCGATAATTTGGTGATGCTGCGATAACGTTTAAAGTGCGCGTGTTGATTGTGTCATAACTATAAATTGGACTCGGAAATTAGAGCTTAAAAAGAGTGAAAAATGTCAAGCATTCAGAGAAGAAAGAGTTGGTATCAAAAAGCCGAGGCAGGCATTAAGGTAGAGATAATTCTTTTTAGATTTTTCTCGACTTTTATTACAGAGTTGTGACAAGATAAAATTAGAATTAACTTCGATAAAATTGCAAAGTTTTTACATTACTGGATTTTGCGAGGAAGTTTGCGTAATGTAAAAATTTCAATATTTTTGAATTTTATAATAGGAGATGAATCACATAGTTTATCGCAATAATAATAAGTGTTTTAATCGAAAAATGGACGTGTTATCTGCAAACAGAGATGCGGCAAGAACGATGCGCATGAAGTCGTGATAAAATGGAATTCCATCCAATGGAATTCTATAGTGATATACGCCATATGTGGGTATACGCCGAGTTTCCTGTTATGTTATCGTATTTGTCACGGTTTGCATTTAACGCAGTAGAAGCATTTAAAATGCTACCGTTTTGAATTTTATGTAAAGTGAATCGTTCTACTTTCGTTTGTCGCATTTCTTATTTATACATTTATCTTTTTTACATTTTTTATTTTCGCTTGAAATGCTAATTACGCGCATGTCACAATTGCTTTTGATGATAGACAGGCATTGTCATCCGATTTAAAATTCGACAATCTTCGCGATATTAAAAGTGCTATCGCGATATCTTGCTCACAGCGATTCTCCAATTATGTTCCATAAAATATGGAACAAAAATTCGTATTATTATGTGGAAAAAAATGTAATAAAGATAAAAATGTTGGCTAGTTGCGTAAATCGCGTAAAATTTATCAGAACAATGACAATGCACAATTAATGTAGCGTCTGATAAATTTTGCTTCCTTGAAATGGGCTTCGTAATCAATGCGTAAAAGGTTGAGAACTACTGCTCCACGGTTTAACACAGAGTCTTCAGTAAAGAATGATATGCGTATGTACTTGATGACACACACACGAGTACATCCACACGTATATAATGTTGACCTTAGGTGCAGCAAATTCGAGCCGCATTTAGCGTACACTTTAAATCGAACGTGCATACAAAGATTATCATGTAAATTTTAGACTTTATGCCAGGGTTGCGATTATTAATTTTGCCAAGCAGTCTTTAATGATACTCTTTTTTTTTCTACATCATACATATTACTGCATGTTGAAAACCTCTGAACGCAAAAACTAGGTAAATGCACCTTTCAATAGATGCTATGTAGCATTTAGTGTTCGGTGACAACGATTGATGCAATAGCCAGACACATATCGGTGACGTGTAAATGTGCACAAAGCAAATAGCATTTCTCGGTACCAATTTTCGTCGTGAGAACTAGTGAAATACTATAGTCGCTCCTTTTTTATGCAATTACGCTTTCACCAAATTGATATGGCATTTATTGGATTGTGCAATAAGTAATTTCGAATTTTTTAATAGGCTTTCTATTGGAAGTTCCGAAATTATTGTTACACAATCCAATATATATTTTCTTTATAATTACTGATTTCTTTTATCATACATCTTATGACGACACACTTGCACATTTCTAGAACATTCTACATAATCACAAGAATGTGACTTTAATGAAATGATTGCTAATATATTTCTACGTACAGACACTTTTTTTCAAATTGTGATTCATGCACTATTAGAATCCTTTTCAAACAAGGATATCGCATATATCCGAGTTAGAATAAAATAGATACTTATTCCTGTAATGTAAAACTAGTAGACAATTCTAGCTTCATGTTGCGGAAATAAATACATTTTAAAATCCGATAAAAACATTTATCGTTAAACATACTGATATAAATATAAATGCAGAGATGTTAATCGACGAAAACAACTTGTGTTTCGAGCGCGAAAACAAAGACTCGCCTTTCAGACGTGAAGATCATCTTCTCGACAACGACGCGTAGGTTGAAGGAATAAAAAGAAGAAGAATCTGCTCACATATTCGGCCTCCGTGTACGTGCCTATCGGAATTTCGCGTGACACCGTTTCGATCTCTCTCGCTCTCGTGCTCGTAGAAGGCCGGTCAGACGGCTGGCGTCATCGCCCGACTGCTCGCACAAGTGAGATCATCTGTGGCCGCGTGTAATTTTTTCTTCCGGTTAACCAAGAATAATTAAAACCATCGGTTAATTCCCGAAGAGCGCGTGAAAAGAATCCGCTGCTCATATTACTCAGGAGAATTGAGATGATACGACTGAAAAAAAACAGAAATGCGAAATTGGAGCGTGTAAGAATGATGAGATTAAATTACGCAATTCGGATAACATGATATTTTATCGGGTTTCGAATTGTTATAATATTAGAAAAGTAGCTTACTTGCCAGTTTTTATTTTTAAAAAATTTTGGCCAATTCATACACGTTAAATGATATTTAGAGCCATCAACTTTGATGAACCTTGGTATTAAATTATCTAATTTTGTTTCTATTTTTTTTAAATTATCGCAGTATTTTTAAATAAGAATAATAAGAATATTTTTTATATATTTGAATTACACAAGATTTGGCAGTCAATCTTTTTCTTCTTTGATTATGTTTTATTATTAAAAAATAATACAAGATGTTAACCATTTACAATGTTCTTCTAAACAATATTGAATTAATTGAATTAAATATTTATTTTAAATGTATCTTTTCTTAATTTTGCCTCATAATGAAGATTTTTCTTGATCTCGTTCTATGATCATTTAACAGCGGTAAAACTATGCGATAAAACAGGTGGTCGTTTATATTCGCGTATATAGAGCGTTACGTAATGTGACGCCACGCCGAAATGCTGCGATAGCAGGCATTTTAAACGCATTGCATTCGAAAACCGCAAAACTCGCACAGGATTCTTTTTTATTCCTTTTTTCTTGGTCTTATATTCACACGTTACTTTAATATACGTATAATATGCTGAAAGCGAAAAGTTATTTGTAATAATCTTTTTTTTTATACGATAGTTATAGCGTAATGCATATATGATTCATACATAATAATACCTAACATATTTCTATCTAACATGATAAAAATAACGTGAAACCAGAACTTCAAACGAGAGTAGCGTAATTAATCATTCTGGTATTCTATTTAGATTGACAATGTCTTTTGTGCAAATGTGTTGTTTTTTCTGCAAACCTGTAGTCCTTAATGCCAAGGATTGCAGGATGAAAAAGGTAGCGTGATTTCCTATCGACCACTAATATCCATTTATGGAATATACATTACGCACATACCAAACGTTAAAGACAACGTCTGAGAACGTTTCTTGTCGAATTTGTGTCAAGTTTGTATCAAGCATAATTACGGTTCACGAAGCATCAAGAAAATGTGCATATCGATCGGTGTGATGAACACGAGAAAAGCCGTATGTTAACATCGAGAATAATTTTGCGACATACCTGCAGAATATTTAGAATATTAAAATACATTAAGTAAAATACAGTAATAAATTTTAAACTGTTTGAAATTATTAAAAAGTTGATGGCTTTATATCTATTTTATTCTCACAATTTTTATGAAATATATGCTGGAACAAATATAATATCCAGTACAATTTTGTATAATTTTATTACACAACGAAATTATATTTTGTAGAATACAATTATAATTATACTGAATAAAATTATTCGATAATATAATATTCGATAAAATATAATGAACATTGATGAAATCGTTTTAATGATAAAGTTTAGAGTACAATTTTGCTTCAAAAATATTGACAATAGCCTCGTTGTTTTTCTCGACATGCAATCAGTGACAAATATCGTGATTTTTATTGAGCATGTCGAAACCTTGGTCTATTCGGAGCCGTGACATAGACGGTCGGGCGCATTCCGCGAAACGCAAGGATCCGCGTGATTCACGACAGCGCAGATTTATCCTTTTCGTCGGGGTCAAACACATGTGCGGTGTGAAAGGAAAGCGCGGGCGGTTGGTTACTGTTTAAAAACCAATATCTGATTAGATAAGATAATAATAATTATCAAATTTTATACGAAGTATACTACGATGACTTTAAACTGCAGCAGGACTATTTCGGAGTAAGTAACTCGGGAAAGTTGAAATGGAACATCTTACATGGCAGGGAAAATATCGCGATACCATCAAATATTAATCCGTTTTCTTTGAGTGGAGTTGTCAAGACAAATATAGAGAATCGAAAACGCAGTCAATATTAAGGATCGGGATATGAACTTATTGGAAGCATGACGTCAACGGCACAAGAATAACCTGCCATCTCGAATAATAACGTTAGGAGCGTGAAAATAAAGGAGAAAGTTTCTTGCAAGAGGAAATGATCTTTCGTCGATAGATCTGCGACAATTCGATGCAGCAAACTTATCATGTTGTCACAGAAATCTTATTGAATGGAAAAGGAGTTGTAAAAAACGAGGAAATTAGTACAAAAAATTTACACTTGCTACAACAAAACGGTGAAAATGTGAAGGCGAGTGGCGTAATTAAGAGCTTAAATTACCCGGAAAGATGAAAGCCTTAACTGAAACACGAATAGAATAATAATTTTGCGCGATGAGAAAATTAATATTTCGAGTCATAAGCTTCCGCCCCGATAGCAAATGCTTATCTTCCTCGGGGAAATTATATAGTTACGATTCAATCTGCATTTCAATTGCAATTGTCTTATTAATTGCGGAAGAAGTTAGTTTTTTTTTTGCATACTACTAAATGACACAAATGTTACGTGAGTGATAACAAAATTCCCGTATCATATTTTTTGCCGCATTTAATTTGAACAGATTTGTCGGCAAGAGAATCGTTTATTGAAACACGCCCAGGTTGTCAGCAATTTTTCTTTTATTCTTTTGCTCATAATGCGAAATGATCAATATAAGTACCGTCCACTCTTATCGTTTATTACGGCATTGCCGAAGAAAATTGCATGCGAGAGGATAGTCACACGAGTGGATATTAGAATCTCAATTCTAATCCTCTTATATGCGCGCTTTATACGCCACTTGTTGGCCGACAT